TCTTTTGCGACACGTGGTTACAATAATCTGTTTGTAGTCGTCGAAGATAAAAAATAGACAAATCCCCATTGTAACAGCAAGTAGTAACGAAAAACAAGTAGTACAGAAAAATGAGCGATTACATATGCATTACGTAAGAAATGCTCTAAATATAAATTGCCGAAAATATTAACGCTATATACAGTATACATAATTTTAGGCATGCTAGTTTTATATACTTTTTTATCATTTCGATGTCAGCAATCATTTATGTGTTACACGACAAATTGCGAGAGATTTGTCACAATTTTCATATTACGCGAAGAAGTGGATAAATGTCCTCGAAGTTTCCGATCATGTCAAATAAATATCAAAACTAATAGAAATTTTCGAGTTGTACGTTGTGCAGCGTAATCATCTGATGTGTAAAAGTGTCGTGAGAGGCGAAAGTGAAGAGTTTAAAGGGATTTAAAACGATGAAGCGTAAATGACTGATTGATCTGTCGTAACGATAATTTTTCAAGCATTCACACTCGTGTAAATATCAGAGGACTTTCAAGTGTCTAAATAAAGAATCTCACTTAAAGTCAATTATTCTGTCCTTTGAGCAACCAACTGTAAAATCTCATTTTCGTTTACGTTTATAACATTATAATCTAAGGAAAGATAAGTTATCATCAATTCAAATTCGTTAAAGTACTTAACAAATTAAAGTTAATTCTTGATAAACTTTCGCTAATATATATATCTATATGTCTTAATGTATTCGCACAACGCACAGCATTGAAATAAATCACGTACCGCTCGAATTGACCATGAACACGTGAACGCAATTCTCGTGAGTGACAGCGTGTCTATTGCCTCTGTCGACGAATCAGAATGACAGATTGCCATTTATTGTTCCGCGAGATTAAGTGGCTTCGTGATAAAGAATAGCGGTGAAGCTCACTATCGGCAAAACGGAAAGAGGACTCTAAGCGCCGCAGTCACAATTGTCGACTTTTAATAGCTTCGTACACGAAAAGAGAAACTCGTGCCAGGTTCCCGGTATCACACGTTATCGGTTTCGTTTTCTATTCTCTTCCGTTTGTCCTGCATGCGTTCCGGGATATTTGCCGGAACGAACCTAGCGTGTCCTTGACACGCATAGCATTCGAACGCGATCGGTATCAACCGAGCGATAGACACGACATTCTATGATACCGTAATTTAATTGCTATTTGCAAGTAATATTTTATCGATTTTATAATTTAGATGGTTCCTGAGGAAATCGCAATTTAATATCATTTAATATCGCGAACGTGAAGTACGGCATCGATAAACATTATATCTTGTATTTTGTTAATAATAAATGTTAACGATATTATATATTTTAAAAACGCTTAATAATCATCTATCTTGTTTTTCTCGATTTTAATCGTTCCTTGTATATGAAAGATAGCGCATAGTTAGCAGTAATAAAACAGGTTAGACTTTTATATCAATGTCGAGATATTTACAGTGAAGTGTGATGCCTTTTTTAACATATAAAGGTTACAGAGATACAGTTCCATCTTCAACTTTCACAAAATACAGGAGTTCGTAGAAAATCTTATTATTGTAAGAAAAAGGTGTCAAATTACATTTCGGTACGGAATGTAAGATGAAAGGCAGCACAGATCCAAGTTGGATCCGTTTTGAAGATCAACCGATTAGATTGCGAGGGAAAAAGAATCTGTCAACGACTGGCAAAAGTTCACGTTGATTTTCCTATGTATCCTTCATATTGTTCAATTTTTTGCGATGTAGCATTACGATATGACCCATCACGGCGGGAGATGGATCGGTTCGGCGACGTCGTATTCGATTACCGTTCAAGAGGACAGGTGAAGAATATCGAGTACACGTGGAGCGATCTGTCGTAAGGGTCGTTAGGTCGTGGCGGTGGTACGCGGCGAGAGAGGTAGAAAAGAAAAAGAAAAGGGTAAACGCGCCGGAGACGGACATTCGTTGCTGTAGAGGAGACGTCAGATTAGAAGCCACGGCTTGACTGGCACACATACATATTTTTTATTACATAAATTGGCGCACGAAGGTCTTCCCCCTGGAGAGAAGTTATCGCGTTAATGCCTATTACCACGCACCCTTCCTCGCGCTTACCGCAGGTGAACTTGTCAAGCGTGATTTCGTCGCACGAACTTTTCCCATGAATGTCGGCGAATCGCATGGAAAAGGCTGAAAAATGAATGAGCTTGAAGACTCATCGGATGTTATCGGCGCGTTGACACAAAGTGCTTTCTGAAGAATATAAGAGATCGAAGAATTGTACGAGACATACGGCCACGATAAACGTCAATTTCTCAAACCATTTCCGTAATATTTTGCATGCGAAAGCATATGGAAACCGATCTTTTCTTAGCAAAAATTTGCCAGCTATATAACGTTTTGACTGAATTATTGCGATAATTAATCGTATCACGTCTAACTCTCGATTTGCAATAAGATAAAAATATAATTTGTAGTGTAGTGTGAAAAAGCTTAATATGTTGTATTAGAAAAAGATTGTGAGCATTGAGGATAAAGTTATAGTCTTGCCGCGAAGAAATCGGCCGTCGCAATCCTTGCAAAAGTTGTTGAACCGATAGAAATCCAATACGTGGAATCGTTATCCAATCACATTACGAGCCTGACTTTTCTATCGTGTGCCAGTAAACTTGACACCTCCGTTAAACGTAATCTTATTGAATTATGGTCATTCATTTAACGATTAAACTAGAGACTAATTTCATTCGCTTTAATTGCCGCGACGTTACTTATTACAGGCTTCGTTTATTAAATTAAGCACTGCACCGAGAATTTTTCTCCAATCCGTGGTGAGAGCAATTTCACGAATGGATTTGCAATTTTTGGCCGTAACAGAAAAATCTTGTCGCGGAAATACTTGCATTCTGAGGTTATCCAATTACATTACTATCCTTTTAACTATATTGTGGTCAGTGTAGTATTTGCAGTATTTAATTTTGCGGAATTTTCCCCATGTTAATAAACACGATTCATTACGATTCATTACAGGATCATTTGTGCGTTAAAAAAATAAGTAATAAGGAATTTTCTTAAAGATTGCTTGTTTAAAATACATGTTATCTAAATTTACGTATTTATATAATTTGATATATTTATTTCTCTATTTTTCTCAGAGAATGAATTATGTGGACAAAAAATAAGAAATACAGAGATAGAAGTAAAAGCAGTACACAGCCTTCGGTGTAAACTATAATCCTCTATTCAAAGAATTCTGCAGTGTTTCTGAAGGATTTAATTCCAGTTGGTCCCCGAGGAAAAAGAGAGAAAGAGAGAGAGAGAGAGAGTAAGAGGATATAATCTGCAGAATCGTATTTAAACTGCTGCTTGTACATCTCGCAGTAGTATAATCAAGACATATTGGTTAAAAAATGTAATATTAAAACAAAACGTGTAATATTTAAAAGTATTAAAACACGTAAAAACAATTTTTTTTAAGTTGCTTCCTTTGGCGTATATTTGCAATATTCCATATTAACTGGGAACGCAAATTTCTTTGCAAATTCAAAAGAATTCGATATCAACGCGCGAATGCATATATTAGCATCTCGTTGTGGCAATGAATTTCATTGTGCCATGTATCGCGTTTTCGTCAGTCATACGATAATATCGTACCATAAATATGAAATAATTTTCTTACCACCTAATTCAATCAGTTAACCTTGAACTACAATGTAGTATTCTATAAGTAGATATTATATGAGTAAATATAATTATTCACATAAATTATAAAATACTGATATCATATACCGCTAACATACTTAAAAATCTTTCTATAGCTGTAGTATAAATCAATTTTGTTTATAATTTTTACATAAATAAAAATAGCCACTCGTATTTCTTTCTTCTTGCTATCAGTAAACATGAAATATACCTTTCACTTTATGATACAAAGTATGCTCCTTTATAGCGTAGTAAGATGCACAAAATTCTTATCTAAACAAGCAATCCCGTCAAGGAGAATTCTTGTCAGTAAATCGCGACAATGCAAAAGAAATCGTCAGTGTTCCCTTCTCCTCTCTATCTCTCTTCCTTTTCGCAATCAATTCGAGCTTTCTCCGCGCCCCGTTTCTCCTCTCGCAAGGACTCGAAGCATTTCTGGAGTGATATTGCCAGTGACATGCATTGTCCCATATTGTGACATAGAGCTACCCCTTTCCTCCATTTAACCGAACCCTTCCATACCCACTCTGCACTACAGTCGGAATGGATGTTTTACATAATATTGAAAATGAACCTCGGGCTCAATGCCTGCACGTTCCGCATATCGCAGCCTCAATATTCCCTAGTACGTCGATTACGTTTTCCATGTCTCTCAGAGGAGATGAGTGAGCATATATTTTTAGTCTTGACCTTCGAAGTAAACCGATCGCGGATAACGAAACGGAGCAAACCGAGCGTGTACACGTAAATGATCGCGTCACTTGTTGACCTATACAAGAATATACCGAATTTTTTCGAATTAATATAAAATATATATTCATATATTAATTCCTAGCTTAGATATTGCAGTACGATCTTGAATACTAACGCAGCACGACAATAAAACGTCGATGTATTATGAATAATAATCAAATAAAACATATTTTCTGTTCACTCTAGTTACCTAGTAGTTCATTAATAACTTCAGCTGCTTTGTCAGGTTAACCATCACCACGTAGCGCAGTCAGTAAAATTGCTGAATTAATCGGCATGCAAACAGAAATGTCATTATCATAATTTATCTAATTAACATGATACTACGCAATGACATCGATATTGTCGCATAAAACAATTCGCGGATTACCTTGCGCCGCAGTAGAATTATAGTTTTATTCACCCGCAAATTAGTCGGTCACGTGAAACGCAATTATCGCAAATACGATTATTTACGCAGCCATTTTATCTTCAAAAACATAACGATTAATTCTTCCGTCGATTATTCTCGCCCTCGTTATTTCTATTCCTCTCGACTAACTCACCGTGCGTATCAAACTTCCTGATGATGGTTTCGATGATAGTAGTTCTGGGCGCCACGTGACCCCGTCTAACAGGCATCTCAGGAACAGGATTCCCAGGTACCTGGGCAGCCGAGACTTCCGCGTTCGACCGTGCGATGGGCGCACCGGGCCCGATCTCTTTTAATTAATAAATCGCGCAGTAAACACTAAAGCACTAGGAAAACACTCGCGTATAATGCACGAGTACGGTAGAAAAAAGCACAGCACGAGTTGAGCATAGTGATCAGCCGTATAAGATAGAGTAACGTAACGCGACTTAACTCGCGAGGAAAAGGAAAGATTCGTTGCTGCGGTCGGATCAACACGCGGATCAGCGGTACATCCGTTTACTTCCTTCCTCCGTCTGCTTCTTGGTAGATACGAAAGGGCGACGCAGGGCTAAGCGAAGAGGAGAGAGAGAGAGAGAGAGAGTCGTCGTCCAGGTGCTTCTATTCGCGCGCTACAGGAATACCGAGGGATGCAGTCGTTGTTTTTGGTCTCGCTCGTTCTCTCGCGGTATCGATATCCCGTATGGATTGTCAGAGAGCGCGGTTGCGTTTCTACGCGTTCGCACGCGAATAACTTCGATGTGTCTCCTACTCGCCGATGTTCGTTTGGACCCGGAGTTCTCGTCTATCTAGATATACGTCTAAGATCGTCGGCGCGGGGCGTCGCGACGATTCCTCCTGCCGTCGAGCCAAGGACGCGGGAAAGGTCGGTCCCACCTTGTCGAACGGCCGGCATACGTATGCCAGCACGTGCACGCGTTGTCACTTCCGATGTGCGTGTGTCTCTCTCAGGTGGCGTGAGGAAACACCTATTTATAGCGAGGATACGGATCGACCGGCGGTGGGCTACGGCTTCCAGGACGCGGCTGGCGATCGGGCAGCTCCCGCGGATTTTCCGCGGTGTCGTCGTTGATTCAGAAGAATCTACGACAATGCCTTGGTCGCTCGCCGGCAGCGTCCGTCCTCGAAGCGACTTGTCCTCTCTCTCGTCGGCAACGTCTCATATCGCTCCGATTGCCGTTCGACGCGCGCGCCGATTTATTTCGCGCGTCGCGCGTTTAATTTGCGATCGAGCACCCTAATACGGTCGGGTAACAACACCAACGCGGTGGCGTCGCGATGCGGGTCAACAGCCTCGAGGCTTCGATCCTCAGGGAGTTGACGTTTCTGACCACAGGCACTCCTATGTAATATTCGCCAACTTCGTTCGACCTCGTGGGATCGAGGTCAGGCTTCACGGCAGCCGAGGTCGCGGAATGCGGTAATCTCGGAGAGGCGCATGGCTCGGACATCTCTCCACCGATGTCGCCGTTCAATTGCTTGTGCTCGCGAACGAGGAACCTTCGTCGTGCGGGACGGCTCGATTTCGCTCGACGAGTCGACGGCCGTGCGAAGGGAAAAAGGCCCAGGATGAGAGGCGTCCAACGGTTACGACGGTAAAGGCACGTGGTGTGTTTGCAGTCGAGTTTACGTGGAATGCCGCGATCGGATCGATTCCTCGTCTGCTCGCGTCCCGACGCGAGTCGCGGCGCTCGCCAGCGCTAATCGAACGTCCGGCACTCGCTCCCTCTCCTCTTGTCTCACTCTTTCTTTTCCTTTCTTCCTCACTCACTCACTCTCTCTCTCTCTTCCTCTCCGACGTGGCTGGTCAGCTGTGCATCTCCGGTCAACCACGGGGACAGCTATTTTTGTACTTCTTCCTCATCCTCCGCGATCATGCCCGACTACCGCCGTTGTCGCGATTTCTCTCGGGACACCCTTCGGTTCATGCAGCCAGGTCGAGCCACGTAAAATCCTCTGACCGCGCTTCCCGACGAGTCACCGACGAACGAGCATGACGATCAGATCATTACCGCAAAGAACGCTCTCGAGAGATCGGTCAAGGTTTTCAGGCAACGCATAATCCGCGGAACGAAGTTGCGTTTCTCTCCGTGCACTCTACCCCTTTCGTCCGTTCCCGATTTTATCGTCACGTTATCTTATTGATACTTCGATTCACATTTCACTATCAGTCTCGTGCTTCGCGTGGTTTCGTATAGCTGTACAATCACCGCGCAATGAGATAAACGCACGCGAACGACGCACTCACCACGCCTTTCGCGGCTCGGTAGACCGAATCGCGGAGATACGATGCCCTCTCGCTGACCTCTCGGGGTCCTCGATCAGTCGGTGGTGACACTCGGTTCGCCCCCTGCACTGTCTCCGGCCGACGCACTCCAGAGGAAGGTCGCCGAACACTGTTGCTCCGTTACTCCGCCGCGTGCTCGTAGCCTCCCTCACCCCTGGGTCGCTGTGTCGTAACGCACACGAGGTGTTTTCTCGAGACGTCCCTTCGTGGGCTCCTTTCGAGTTTTCCCGATAACGGCGTCGCGCAATATCGCGGACACGATACCCTCGTCGGTTCGATCCGAGTCTCGCGTGGTTTTTGGCGAGTCGCCGTCGTGTGTTCGGTCGGAGAACTGAAAACGCGAGAGGAGGACGCGAGGCGCGAGACGGGTCGACGTCTCACTCTTTCTCTCTTTCTCTCTCGGTGACGGCGGCGGCGGCGGCGGCGGTGGCGACGGCGACGACGACGCCGGCGACGTTGGTACGTAACAGGGGGGAGAGGGAGTCCGATCGTGCACGGCGCCTGCGTATCCCCACTTGAAATCATCCACCGCGATCACCCCGATCGTCCCGCTGTGCTCCCGTTCGACGGCTTTTTCTCTCTCGCACCTTCCCCGCTGCATATCGCGCGCGACGTCCGCTGATAATATTGATAAGGCTCCGCGAAACCCGCGCGCCGGCCGCCCTCCTCGTCGGCGCCCCTCTGTCTTTCGCACCGGTGGTGACGAGCTTCGGGGTCGCCGCGTATGTAATCTACGAGGACGTAACAACGTCACGCATTGTATTCCCAGGCTCTATTTCTTGGTTTACTCCATTGTAACGCGACGACCCGTCCGCGTCCGCTCGACCCCATGCAGGTCTCCGCGACTCCCGCGAATTATAGTTTGAGAAATGTCGCCATCTCAGGAAAAAGCAGCTTGAGATTGCTGGGAATCTTATGATACTCATATGTACATGCGAAAGGGATATTGAGATTTGAGATTACTTAGCATGATGTCTCGGTAAAGAAGTTTTCATATAAAAACTTATATAAATATATATAATTATACATACATAAAATATGTTCATACATGTTTTCTTTTTCTTGTATAATTTCTGTTAGTACATACGTACATACCGGAAAAATAATAAAAATTAAAAAGTAATGAAAAGAATAAATAATTGCGTTGTATTTTTTATAAAAAGTGAAGTTTGAGGAAATGAGAAAAAATTGTCCATATTAATCATATAGAAATGTAATAATCGTATACAAAGTTTGATTATATGTATATAGAATATTGTAGAATTCAATTTCAATTCTACTTTTTGTAAAAAAAAAAACGATGCAAAAATTATTTATAAAATTATCTTTTTAATTAATCTTATTATTTTTCCGATATACGGATAGAGACTATATAAAAGAGAGAAAACATATATGAACATATTTTATATAAATTTATTCATATATTTTTATATAAAAAATTTTATATAAACGGGCATATATATAACGATTAATTGTTCCTTCTATTCGCCTTTCACATGATCACTTACCTTGGCATATTATATACTCGAGATAAAATAAAATATGTGACTTGTGCCTTGTGCGCGATATGATAGAAAAGTTTACATTCTTATTATACGAATGTAAATAAAGAAGTTTTAAAAGCTTTATAAAGTTGTAAACAGACGCAAATACGATTCGTATATTTAAATACATAATTCAAAACATTTTTCTTTGATACTAATCTACGCTATTGTCAAATCAGAAGGCATATCTGCCGGTGTGAGAACATTTTTGATGTCGTGCATCTCGGCGATCCCGGCGCCGGCGATCCCCGGGATGCACAACTTCGCAGTCATCGCGGTCTCTGTCGGAGAACTTTAGAGCTATTGTGAAATCGTCGGTACGACAAAGAGAAGCGCGGATACCTACAGGAATTGGCTATCACGGCCAAGATACCGAGAATTCACGACTTTATCAGCGTATATCGAGACGAGAGATCCCCTTCACTGGAGTAAAATTTTCTCCTTTTTAATGACGTTTCCTCGCCATTCAACGTACGCCATTATCACGTACCGCACGAAAAAAACGTACGTAATGTACGTAAAAACTATCGCGTAATGCGTATAATTTCGATATACAGAAACATTTTAGAAACGGTAAGATTGCGTCGAACTCGCGTGAAGGAAGCGCTAGGTTTCAATTTCGCACAAAATATCCGCCGCTCGAGCGAATCACAAAGATATGGCGGTCACGTATCGCCAGTGCCAGTAATCGAGCACTTACCTTTCGAACTGTCGGACTGTCGCACCTGTCGACGCCGGATGTCCACGGGCGCGGGCCTCTCGTCTGTCACGTCGCATCGTGTCGGAGCGGAACAGGCTTCTACGGACGATCGTCTCTCTCTTGTTTCGACACCCGCGTAATTCACACGAAACTCGAAGAACGCGACCGCGAAACAGACTGAAACGCCTGTCTAGCCCAGTCGATAGAGCCCGAAAAAGCCGCTCAAATGGAATTAATTTCGGGAAGCGATTTTTTTTTACTACCCACGACCTCCGAAACAGTAAAAAAAAAATCGCTTCCCGGAATTAATTCCATTTAAAATTTAAATGTCTCTATCGACTGGGCTAGTCGGTCGTCGGCCGGCCGCGCCGCGCCGGTTGCGTTTGAAAAGTAACGAATCAGCGAATGGCGAAGCCGGCCGGCGTCGGGCGAGTTCGGCGGCGCTCGGGAATCGTCGGTTGCCGGCGCTGCGACTCGCGGCCGTACGGGGTTCACGAGAGTCGAAGCACGGAGCCCCGCCCTGCCTGCCGCCTGCCGCCTGCCACCCGCCAGATCCGTGAAGGAGCAGCAGCAGCAGCAGCAGCTCCGCTTGCCTCGTTCCGAGTTTGAGTTTCCGTGTGTCCGGTGTTGTCGAATGAAAACAATCGCCGACGTTCGGCCGTCGTGCGTCTCGAGAGACGTTTCAAGCTGCGCGTCTCCCGCAATCGCGTACTGCCTCGGCTCGGCCCCGCGCTGTCGCGATAACGCGTAGCGGTTAGCGGTTTACGGCTGCCTTCGGTCGCCGTCGTCGTTCTCGCCGTCGTGCCCGTCATCGTCGCGTCGTGCACCGCGACGATTAACCTTAAAGAGAGCGACGGGTGCAGTGGTGGTGTTTCCCCTCCGAGGAGGTACGACGAGTAAACTCGAGTCGCCGATACTCGAGGCGAGGAGGTGTGACGAGGAAAGTGCGTAGTCATCGATGTGAGAGCCGAGCAGCCGAGAACGACGAGGAAGAGCAGAGGGAGAGAGTGCGAAAGGGGAGAGCGAGAGCGAGAGAGAGAGAGAGGGACAGCGGACAGGCCGAAGCGTCGCAAGCCGGGAATTCCGACGACCGCGGCTCCGTCAGGGAGCTCCAGGTATGTAACATTTTTGCTAGCTCGGCGTTCCGGGCTCCTTGCGGACTTCCGGATGCGCCGCTCTTCCCGGCCGGCCCTTTCGCGCGAGACTCGATAACCGCCGCGAGCCATCATGGCGGCCGCCTAGGCCTACGCTCTCTGTCAAAATCTCGCCGTTTGCCGTTCGCCGTTATTTCGATCGCTCGTTCGCCCCGACGACGTGACGCCGTCGCCGATAAACGCCGACTCCGGAGATCGCGACAGCGGAGATCAGCCTCGTAAATTCTCGCGGAATTCTCCGACGAAACTCTCCGAATCCGAATGAAGCCTTTCGCGCCCCGTGCGAGCCTGCGAGAGATCCGTTTTCTTTTTACGCTCTGTGAAAGCTGTTCCTGGGTCCACGACTCTCGCCCGTTAAACGTCGCGCTCCTTCGGTTTCACCTCGTTTGTCGCGCGACGTCGCGGTCGTAGCGCTACATTTACGACGCTCATCCGCGAGGGGATCGGTCTTCACCGCCCGCGCCGCGCCGTCGGCTGTCGGCTGCGCGAAACCGTCGGCGACCGTGTCCGGAAATAGATCGAGCGTCGCGATTACGTGGGTCTGGATGCATTATCGATGGGATCATTGATTGGAGCGGATTTCCACGAGATTGGCGCGGAGACTCGCGGTTGTATGCGTTTTAAAGATTTGAAAAAGTGTGTTCTAACCGCGATGAGTCAGAGTCGGCGATAACGAGACTCTTCCTGCGTGCCCGGTGACTTTCCTCGTCGTAGCTCGTATAGGATATTTGTGAGAGCATTCGCGAAACGTCAGTGAAATCTGTCACTTTGTTAATTCGTGCTTTCGTGCGAAATTGTTGAAATTTTTTCCACCCAGATGTGACAGCTCCTTTAATCAGTATCGACGCTATCATTAGTAAAATTGAGCTAATTTATTATTTTTATTTATTAATAATTATTTATTGATTTACTTATGTTATAGTACTTATTTATATAATCCTTGTAAGTTTTGTTAAAACGAATCACAGCATTATTCTAAATTTTTCACATTGAGTAAAAGTCTGTCGTTATTGTCGTTAAGGAAAAAACGTAATGTAATATATTCGCAAAGAAGGTGGATTGCCTTGATGAGCCGCGAAATTACGCGGCGGTAATTTTCGACGTTCTCGTCTTGAGGAATGTTTGCGTGTCTCACAGACTCGGGCACACCGGTTTTGCTTCGGCGGAGCGACGCCTATGACGTTTGTTTGACGACGACTCGGGTTATCTCGCGGCGCACAATGCGCGTAACGCGAGTCGTTTTGCATAATATATGATGTTCCCGCGAAAACAAAGTTCGTCTCTTCACGGAGTAACTAGCGAGAGTTGGATTTTCGCGGTGTAAGAAACGCGTAGGCTGACGGGGAAAACCGTCCGCTTGTTTTCCGTGGGAAACCGAAGAGAGAAAACGTGCCTGCCGTCGACGAAACTTTGCGGTGAGATTGGCGATTGTGACGCTGTTCAATTTAATCAGGTAGGACTAAGCTCGGTGTAATATTGTAATTGAGGAGACGATCATTAATTAATTATGAAATTATGGCATTTTCTTATTTGAGAATGGATTGAACGATGTGGCAATCACACGTTGCTCATCTGTTAAAAATAGAACCGCTAAATTTAATGGAAATGTCACGAACAAGTTTATATAGAAATCATAAATAGGAGTGATAAAAAGTGGTTGAATAACGTGACTGATTGAGTATTTCTTGCTCCTGCTAAGATTAACTCTTAACTGGTAACTGGTAGTTTCCACTGAACCTTTTGCGAGATATTCGTTCTGAGAACGGAAAGCGTGATGCAACGCGAGATCTCTGAATTTTCTTACATAACAAGTAGCGATTATGTTCGACTTTTGTTAGCGTTAAATGTATACCTTGCAGAATTCGCATTTTTCGCATTAATCACAAGGTAATATATATTTTTTTACGGGCCTTGTGGCACGAGCGACTTTATCTTCAACTTAGTAGTGTAATATATTTCAATTCTGCATTCTCTTTCATTATTCGATACTTCAATAAACCTTCTTTAAATACAAAATTGTTTTGTCGCCGTTTTTAGAAGCGCGAAAATTCTGACGTCCACCGGATTACCTGGAACCATTCCATCGCGCGATAATTAGCTTTATCATGAGGACAGATCTCTTTCTCTCCTTTCTTTCTTTTTACCGTATTTATCACCAGAGTTTTTATCGCGGATTCTCAACCGTCTCACTTACGATCGTCTGACAGGGAAAATGACGCCCAACAGCGAAGAAAGGCGTAGCACGATCCTTCTTACGAGAGTGATCTTTGGCATTTCTCGGACAATAAACCTTAAACGACAGGTCGTGGGTTAATGATCGCAATAAGTCGAGAATAAGGAAAGATAGACGATCGATAGTAGGCGGGCGAGCCGTTGTTGCCCGCCGTCGTAGCAGGTGTCAACGTTGAGATCGCTGGGACTCGAGTTTGGCGCGACAGACGAGAAGAAATGTTCGGCGACGTTCCGATCTTGGTGGGGCAACGGGAGAAAAAAGTTTCTCGCGACGCGTCACATTCCGTCTTGTAATTGGCCGGCCAATTGCCAGCCGCAGCTGTCTTAATCGGTTTTAATTGCTTCGGAATATAAAGCCGTCGTCGTCGCGCGCGCGCTAAAGACAAGTGGCGTCTTGAGTTCAATTGACAGCGTTCCACTTGAGACGCGTCGGCGATGATATCGGCGTTATCGGCACTCCCGATGGAACTGAGCTAGGAATCAATTGCGTGTCGCGATAAATCGCTCATCTTTCCGCAATTCCCACGAGATTTCATCGGAACCGCAATGCGCGTTCGATAAGAAAGAAGTTTCGCGAATTTTTCCGTATATATTAGCCGTATTAGCGTATAGTAACTAGTAACGCATCTCGTATCCATTCAGTTACATTCCTTTAGTTCTATTTATAGGACTATTTATAGGAAACCCTGAATTATTCCGTAAAGTCTGTCTTGACGTAAATCGATTCTTAGTTCTGGAGTCTTTGGTCTCTCGAGATGTATCTTCCGGGAAGTTTCACAAAATTTATTCCAGCGAATTAGATTAATTCCGGTAGGATTGGATTTCTATTTAACGAAGGCGTCTCTGCCGCTATCCCTTTCACTTTGTATTGCAAATCGAACATTGTTCTCGGTTGCGCGATGTTTGCGTAGGAGGCTTTAGACCCATCCAGGGCCGCTGTTACTCTATTCGCGTGTGGTTCCGTGTATAATTTCATCATTGCGGCGGATAACGTATCGTGCGCCGAACGGCGGTGGCGACGATAAGCTTTGTGCAGATGCTTCTCTCCGATAGAAAACACCCGACACGACGGGTCCCTTAATAGCGATCGCGGCTTACAGGACGGTTAGTAGGTCGCACTACTTATCGAATGCGAAAGGGTCAACGTATTCGAGCTGGATGATGTGTCTCGTAGTTAAACCCCTCTTTAGTCACTCTGTCGCCGGCCCTCCTCTCCTATGGGCTCACGTCCTGTTTTATCATGCCCTTCTGTTCCCTCCCTGCCAGCCGTCGAGATATCGGCCCTTTTTGTAGAGAGACAGTTACTTGAACGTGAGAAAAATAAGCAGTGGTAAAAAAGGACAGAAACTTGTTAGTTTAATAATTGTCTTAATAATAATTTCCCTCGTGCACTGAGGTTCAATTTAAATTGTGTAACGTGCTTTTGTTTTTCCGCGGAATTTTATATTGCGAACAAAATATTGTTCGCTTATCTCGAAGTTTTATACAGTGGTTATTACATTACGCGAATTATCTTAAGCAAAACTGGGACACTGCTGACACTTGGAAAAAATCTCACAGATGCGTTTTATGCGGTTAAACGATTCTTCTTGGCACGCCTAATGACGTCATGCGACTGCATTAAACTAGGACAGGGTTTAACGCTGCAAGTTCTGCTGCAGCGTATTTGGTCGCGATAAAGTCGCCAGGATGCGATTATCGTTGGATTTAGTCTCTCGCAGATTTCGGTAAACTCGATTCACGCAGTTTTCCTGGGTGGGGAATCTGGCTCGTCGCGAAAGTCGTCGGGCTCGGACTTTCTTCTCGTGGCACTATTTTCATTCATAAAAGTAGCACCGGCGATTTCATTTTCTAGCACAGAACCACGTTCGCGGTATAAATGCTGTTCATTGATGTCGATGCTGCACGATCAATATTGTACACCAGGCCGCGTATTGAATGTAATTTACACGGTCCAGTTGCCTCGCATGCGACCAATCGAGAGTCACATGCGCATTTAGACGTGCATTTATCTTTGACCGGACGGTATTTTTTTTTTTAAATAAAATCAAATACGCTTTATCGTCCGCCTTTTTTTCGAGCAGCTCCCACGCGATGACACTTTTAAAAAAGAAAAAAAAAGGAACGTCCCGTTGGATATTGCATTAGGTCCTAATATAGAAACGAGGACGCGTTCGTCTCTCTCGGCATCTAGAAATTAGCGGGCAATCTGCAACGCCACGCGGCCTGCTACTCCAGGTTACTTTCTGACGTCATCGCCTACCTCTTGACGTCATTCACCTGTATCTGCCTCTCACCTCGTCGCGTCGCGTCTCGGGAGATGTGCCGCATCTCCCCCACCTAGGATTCGATGACCTAAACGTGTATCGCACTTGCTACTTCTGTCTCGCTACTTCGATGAAATAACGAGACGAATGTTACTAAAAAAAAAAAAAAAAAAAAAAAAATATGTACGCTCAAAAAAGCAAACGAGTGCGAGTTGCAGCTCGGGCGAGCCTTGATCGATCGATCGATGCACTTGCGTCACGGCGTATTTTAAGACGTCGATGATTCCGTGCCAAAGTGAGACATTAGCTCTCTATGGACTAGCGTGAGTTCAAACTAATGAACTGTAACTTGGAAGATTTAATTTCGGAGAAAGGTGAGCGGCAGTCTCTCTCTCCATTATTAATTTACTTCCGTCAAGACAAATATACGTACTTTGATCAGACCGAATCGGAATGTGAAGTCCGGGGGCGAAACTCAATCGAGCGACCATGAAAGTCGGGCGACCGTAAATCAGATCGTAGCTCGTATCGGGTCAGGTAGAAAATTACGGCACAAAGGTACGACAATGTCGGCTTACCGAACATGAGGATGATAAATCATAAAGCGATTAGCCAAGTAACCAGAAACATAGGACGGCAGGTGTAACGTCGGTGAACCTGCCGGTCTGTCGACCAACTGTCGCTCCGCGCGCGTTACTGCCCAACTCCCCTTTTACCCCGGTGCTCCAAAGAGCAGTCGTTTGCCAAAGGCATCGGCGACGAGTATTCGGCGTGGGGTTGAGTACTTGGCAGCCCCGCGGTTGTGTACGGTCGGGCCGAGACGCAACGGAGGCGAGGCCGGAGAGCGAAAGAGCGAGATCGTTGCATTGGACGTTGACCCGCGTGGCTCAACTGTTGCTCCCATTCGCGCATCCGGGAGTCCGCCGAAGGGAGACGACCTAGGGAAGATTTGATAATGGACGAGTTCTTCCGCCGGGCTCTCGAGTGTTTGTCGCGCGAACTTAGCCCGGAGAACGGCTATACTAATGAAATTCGTGGCGCATTGCGAGTCATTTCTCGCGCTCGACGCTGCCTTTTTATCGGGGATGTCAAGAGCGAATTCCGATTCTCTCAAGCGGACAAAACCTTGGTTCGGGTGCGTAGATTTAGTAAAAAGGACAGTAAAAAGTTGTTAATAAGTGTTCAGTCTCGAGATCGAGCCACACGATAATGAAACGTGAAGTATGTCGAGTGTATTGAACTTGAAATGTTGCTCTGCTTCAAAAACTTTTTAGAATTCTATTTGAATAAAATTTTAGAAATTATTTTTTAAATCGCCGAGAAATTCGTACATTAAGTTATTACAAAGGCATTTTGTAAAGAAAGAAAGTGGTATATTTTATATCCTTTTTGTTGTGAATATAATCCTTTCGTCATTCAAAGACCGTGTTTGATTCGGCATTGACTGTCGCCGGCTGATGCTTGGCACGTTGCCATCTGTCAGCTACGATACAACGAGCTATTTTGAATGGTAGTATCGATTTGAACCAGCTTCACTTTTCGATACGGTGATTGACCAACGTCGATTCAAGGCTAATCTGCGTTTCTGATCTGAACTCCGATTGTTATCGTATCCCTAATCGACAACATGCGTCATATCAATCATCGCTGCCAATATCAACATCTCTTTAGAACGATGGGCTATGTTTTATCTTCAATCTTGTTTCATTTTTTGTCATTGTCATTAACTTTGGACGGCGTAATGAAATAAGATTAAGAAGTATTCCCCGGTCACGATAACCGTGTGTCGTCTTCTTTTGCATTGCGATGATTGGCTGGCGACTGTTTTCGATTATTGGATTGTTGATTGTTGTTGCTGACGACAGCAACAGCAGCAGCTCGTGCAGCAACCTGTCATCGTCGGCAGCGACGACGGCGTCCTCTTGACGCCAGGTCGGACGGTCGGTACGGCGCCAGCGTCGTCTCTCCCACTTCCCGGCGACTCGTCCTCCCGGCCGGCCTTCTCTTGAAACCACGTCCTTCCTTGGGTGTGGTTCGAGATCGTCGAGACGTCGTCCTTTCCGTCGACGAGTCGCCGGACTTGCTTTTCACGCGGCTAACCGGGTTCCCCTCGTCCTAACGTCGGCGGTGCGCGGTGCGCGAGGTCCGCGATTGTCCTCCCGCGTTCGTGAATCACGCGCTCGTCGCAGGAACAAGGACGATCGCCCAGCGAGAGCGGACGAGTCGAACGAGTGCAAAGGGTGTGCGGATAGAAGAGAGAAAGATTGACGGCAGCGGCGAGTGGGGCGAGCTGCAACGGCGACGTTCATCGATTCGCGTTGCGCTTTCACGGTTGCGTGCGAAACGCGACGGAAAAAGCGGGTGCCCCTCTCGCTGACGTACGTGCGTGCGTACGTGTTCCTCCGCAGTGCCCCGCAAAACCCCGCGATTCGCGATTCCGAGTGGTACCTGGTACCGGAAATAAAACCGCGGCGCTAGCCCCTCCAAGGTTCTCCATCGTCGGAGAAGAGTTTTGTTCGCGCGATTCGCGTGTCGACGGGCGCAACCTGGCGGTAACGAGCGACAAGGCTTTTAACGGGGTTGTACGTCGTCTGCTTCGACCTGGTGGTGGTGGTGGTAGCGACGGTGGCGGTAGTGGTGACTCCTTCACGAGAGGTTATGTCGCTGCGGCCTCGATGACGCTCCTCTGACAGCAGTGGCGGTGACGGTGGGACGGACCGAGTGAGTTCCATCGATGCGTATAAACCTCCCTTTCCATCTCGACGCCCTCGTGAGCGAGGACGTCGTCGTCTCTTTTTTTTCTCCTCTTTTTTCCTCCCTACTCTCGCCGATCGAAGCCGCCGCGGAATTCTTGCTGCTCGCTATTAGTTAGCCGGGACAATGGCGCGCGTCGTCAGAGAAAAGCGGAAGAACGATACTACGTGACATCGTTCTTCCCTGTTGTCAATAGCACCCTTTCTCGTTATCGATAACGCGCAAAAGCCCCGAGGTTTCCGCCGACCTTTGTATTTTGGTCCCTCGACTCCGTCGCGTGAGGCGACCGCCGATTATTCATCGATGACGTTCTTATGCAGGTTGCAATACAAGGCCTGTTTATGCAGGTTCTAAACAATCTAAACGATGGAACTGCACTTTATCTAACGTGCACGTTTCTAATTTCTTCGTTTTCGAATAAATATCTTCAAGCAAAAATGAATAAAACGTAAATTAACTCCCCGAATGATTATTTTATCTATGAAGCTGCATGAAAATGCCGGTCTCACTACTCAGTTTTATCAGTTGACCTTTTCTTTCTTTCGCTTATACATTGATTTATTGAAAGCCAGTACATGACTTTTGTGCTATTGTTATTTCTTTTCTTTTATTGATGAACGCTAATCTCATCAAGTTTTTATGACAGTATTTTACTGAATTCAATAAAAAAATTTAAATTTTTCTGACTCGCGATCAACCAATTTGTTTTTTCTGTGAGAACTCGTAATATAAGGCATGAGATAACTTGTGATAAGAATTTGTGATATAGCGCGAAAATAATTCCCACGATTTTGTTCTTCTTTCCTTAGCTGCTTGCCAGATTTTTTCTTAAGCATTAAAATTAGCATGGTCAAGTTAATTCGCGTTGTGTATCCTAGTTTTCAGAAAAGTGCTTGTTTTCCAGTCTCATTTGCGCGTGCGTCCAAGCTCGCATTCGCTGCCAGCTCCATTCGGAAAATGAGAACACCTCGCGTTAGATCGACAACCCTCGGTTTCCCCGGGTCACAAGATCTCGCGGAGGTGAAGGACGCCCCGCGGATCTTCGTATACGTGATTGTTCGAATTGGTTGTGAATGGCATGATAGGGAGAGAACTCTTACAACCAGGATTACGTAGTATTTGAGAAATATCCGCTTTTCTCTCGCGGGGGGAAAAATGTTAACATTTGTGGCGTTGCGTCGATAAATTCGGAAGATCTGTTTATCTGCATCTAAAAAAAAGTTGGTTGGGGCGAAAGTAATCGATTATTATTTTACCATTTATTCTATCGTGTGTTAGTAAAGGGAATATTCCGCAGTTTTTTAATGTCATCTTTACATCTCTCTATTTGCAAAAACGTAATAAGCATTGTAATTCTGATTTGAAAATATTTTTTAATAGGGACATTTTTTTCCATTATTTTGTTATTCTCAACAAAATTAATAAAATATTTTGAATATTAATTAAATATTAGAATATAATAGACAAAAAAATTCCATGGAATTCTGAATAAAGAGATTCTTTTAAATAATGAAAAATATCGATGCATAAAATTATTCTACAAATATCGATGTTATATAAATTTTTTCCACAGTAATGGAAAAGCGCGACATTTATTTTTCCAACGAAACTAGATGGCGAAAATCGTGATGTAACTTATCTGAAATGAAAGTGGCAAACACACACGTGTCAGTACTTTTCAGTCAATTATCGGTTTTCCGAGTTTATCGATATTACGTTGCAGTAACTAGTCGCACCAGCGTCAACCGATCGCTCGTCACCGTGACGGTGATGCACGTCGCGCGGATGACGTTTTTCTCGAGGAAAAATACGCACTGACGAGAACTCGAATCTCCGGAGTCACGAGAATTCGAAGGGGAGAAAAGTCGCGATAAAAATATCAATGTGCGCCATACAACCAAAATATTTTTAGCGAGGCGATAATTATATATATGTATATTTCTTTTTATGTATTCGACATGCGTGTATGCATGACAAGAGAAGCGCTCTTCCATTATTTTTCTCCGATCATTTTAATTAAAATCGTCTAATGTCCATTTCTATCAACGCAGGTTAATTTTGATCTTGGTTTAACTTACCTGTCATCTTTTCCTAGTTCTAAAAGTTAGAAAAAGATAGAAAGTAAGTTAAACCGAGATTAGAAGTTAATCTACATTGGTAGAAATGGGCATAAGGCCGGATCCAACCACGCGAACAAGCGAATGAATAAGCTTGCTTTGATGAGTGCGAAGTGCGATAGAATACATTTTACCTTTTTTTGGTACATGAAAGAGAAAAGCTCGTTATACTTACTCATATTTGTCGTAAATGTTCGTTCGTATTTGTTCGTCCTAGCTTGATTTAGATCTACTTTAACGTGATTTATCATTCATCAGTGTAGTATCCGTGCACCGATAGTACAATCTATGAATCTTTTCCTTCAATGATAAGATACTCCAATTTATCAATTATATTATTTTTTCTAATTATAATTATTTTCTAATATGCGATGTACAAGTTTTAAAATGAAATGTTGCAATCATTAATGCAGCAGAGCTTCTGATTTAATATATTTTTGCTTCTCTCGCGGTAAACATAGTACCTTCTTCAATACGTGAGCGATACGAATCATTACGCGTATCTGGAAATAACTATTTATTTTTACTGGTGTGTTACATTTGAAAGCGGCACGCGTGCCAATTAGTGAGCCATACGAGCCAAACTATGATACAGCAAGCATATTTAAGTTAGAAACTTCAATTTATCATTATTAGTATATATATAAATATAATATATGTATAAATATTTAATAGTTTCAGCAATATTCTCATGTTATCTGACTCTTTAGACTTTCTTCAGGCGTAGATTTTTGCGACACGCATGCATAAGGTCCTATTTTGTGCCGCGTGCAAAATCAACGCGATTATCTATTACTGTCATTAAGAAACTGCTGCAATTCTCGGAAGACGTTTGCGGAAGACGGCTTAGGCATGCCGCCTGTTCGTTTTACTTGAACCATCAAATGCGTTAAAATTGCGCGTCATCCGCATGAAACATAACGTTCCGTTCATCATCTGCGGTATCATGATATATGGCCGCTAATTCAACACCTTTACCTTCTTCACGGGATAAATCTTAACGTCGTGGTGAAGCAACGATGACATTTATAATTATTTTATATGACTTGACAATATTTTTAAAAGAATTTAAGTATTTTTTTGCGAATCAAAGATACGAGCAATATTATGAATTATAGAAATACTTTTTAGGCTCTGTTTGTTAATCAGTTGTGACTGACCGACTTGATATTTTGTGTTTCAGAAGTGGCAACGGTTTCGTCGGGAAGTATCGAAGTTGGCGCGAGGGGCGGAGAAGTCAGCTGTGGTCTGGCTCTGGTGGTAGCGGCGGAAGCGGAAGCCGCTGCAGTAACGAAGGCAGGGGGCGAGGAGGTGGGGCCGGGTGAGGCTGGTGGTAGTCCCGATTTATTTAGGAGGAGACGCAAATTTTATCCTTGTCCCCATTTTTATTTATCTCCTTTTCTTTTACCTCTCACCTTGTCTTACGGGAGTGATAAGTTCGGGGGCGTTCGCCACCGGCCATCAAAAACGCTATCGACGGCGTGACACCGGCCCCGCATTCAGCCTTTCTCCCGCAGAGAGTAGGCATCGTAGACAGGAGTTATTGCCATCCGTCATCATCGTAGAAATTGCGTTCTGAGCCCTTCCCGACAACTCCTCTCGCACGCGCGACGTCCTAGTATCTCGGACCCGTTAACGGGTGCTCATAAGGCACGCGCGTCATCTGCCAGACATCATGAACGAGCTCGAAAGCCTTCGTCAAGAAGCGGAGACGCTGAAGAATGCCATTCGGGTAAGTACCCGCTTCGAGGTTCCTTGCTTCAAGGTCATTGTTTCTTCCTCTTTAACTCATTAAAAAGTGTGTACATTTTAAAAATATTTTTAATTTGAAAGCATTACGAATAATTTGTTAACCACCTTATTGCTATATATATTTGCGTTTATTGAAATAAAAATTTATTAAATTATTTGCAATTATATGTCAAATATATAATCCATTAGTAATGCAACACGCTAAACATTTTAACCCTGTAATAAAGTAAAGACTTCTTAAGAGAGAAATCAACATAATTGGATCTTTTTCAACGATCGAATCGACTAATTCCTCTCTTACACCAGATTTTGCAATTTTACGCAACTCTTTTCCGGCTTTCTTTGCTCCGGACGTTAAAGTGGCTATCGTAAATTTTAACGATAGAGAGATATTTTTCTATGGCGAATGACTTTCCGTATAGTTGTGAGAATATGGAGCCGGCTAGTGGTGGTAGTAGTGTGGTGGGGTGGTAGGGCGCGGCATAACCGTCGCTTCTCTGATCAATACGCCACCATCCCTCTCTCCCTCACTCCATGTCTTGTTTCTTCTCTCGATGTATTCGTCTCTCTTTCTTCTATGCTCCCTTTCCTGCCCTCCCCTTTTATACATGTATAAAATGCACGCGCTCGCACGGTATGCGCGGAAATATGCGCTTACCGATGAAAGAAAATAACGCTATCGACCTTGTTTGCTAATTGTTTATGACGCGTACGATTTTTTTTTGGATCATGGCTTATTAAATAAAATAACCAATATGCGTAACGGATATGTATGCCGTGAATGCATATCTAAAATATTTTTTTGTACAATGTATAACGATTTTTTGATATCAATTGATTGATAATAAATGATACTTTTGATATTTTTTTATCAGTATCATACAATTAATTTATTTGAAATTATTTTATCGAGAAATAAATATTAACATCGATTAAATATACGGTAAGTTACGATAAAAATTTATTATAAAACGAATTGCGGAGTAGCGCGGTCTTATTTTAGAAATCATTTAACAATGGTCTTGTATGCACATCTTTAGTATATCTTTAGCACTAAAGGCAAAGAGTTATATCCAATATACTCTAGTATTAAGTCACTTTAAGTACTACTGTGTTATAATCCAATTTTAAAGGTCAGTCCAAAGGCAGTGCGGCATAATATCGCGGAGTAAAGACACGCGAGCACCATTGACAATTCAACGAAATTTTCTTCCTCATCCCACGTATTTCCTTTTTCTAATTCCTTGAATTTCATGAAAATTTTCAGCATTTTATTTAATTCAACAACATGTTCGGTCGTGATCGTCGTTTGACCTTTTGTGCTGAACTCGTGTATACGCGGGCATGACATTAAACGAAGTTTTCACGTGGAATTTATTAAATTTTCGCGACGATGTGTATATTCACTACGGATGTGTGTGTTCCAATTAAGATGCTGCTTCAACGTGAAATCTCGAAACTTTAATTATCATTGAATAACATGGCGGTGTATAGATAAGATTTCCTCGTCATACTTTACTTACGCAGCTAACAATAACGAATAATTACATGCGATACGACGGTCTCTTTCTTATCACGAGCTTTCTTATCGTAAGCTTTATCGCGTGTGTTAGGGATCAAACGCGAGAAACAGATCCCGACGCAAATTTACAAATTTGTCTGTGATCTCATGCCGCAGGATGCCAGGAAAGCAGCATGCGACACGTCCTTGGCCCAGGCCACATCGGGCATGGAACCTATCGGTCGCATACAAATGCGAACGAGACGTACGCTTCGCGGTCACTTAGCTAAAATTTATGCGATGCACTGGGGAAGTGACTCGAGGTATGACGTTAAATGCAAACACGATGATTCGATGACGATTAGCAAAACTGTTGGTCATTTTAACGTGAAATTTTAGTAACAGTAGTAGTGAATTTTGAGATGGAGGAGGATTTATGAAAATAGAAAAGTACATATTTATAGATAGAAATAGATCTTTATTTTACGATATTCTAAAATATGATAGCCATACAAAATTATTCAAATAGAGGAAATTTCTTTTCATTGCGTTAGGTTATTATCAGTGTACATATTTTATTTCTTATGCGTAGGAACCTAGTCTCCGCATCGCAAGATGGCAAACTGATCGTTTGGGATAGTTATACTACCAATAAGGTTCACGCGATCCCACTACGGTCATCATGGGTAATGACTTGTGCGTACGCTCCCTCGGGTAGTTATGTGGCGTGCGGTGGATTGGACAATATCTGTTCCATCTATAGTCTTAAAACTAGGGAAGGGAATGTGCGGGTGAGCAGAGAACTTCCGGGTCACACTGGATACTTGTCCTGCTGTCGATTCTACGACGACAACCAAATCGTCACCAGCTCCGGCGACATGTCTTGGTAAGTATTACCTAGAGATTTATGACAGACGACCGGGGAAATTACTCTATGTGTAACAAAAAAATCCTACATCCTCCATATTCTAAACCATCTTTGCAAGACAAAATAAAATATAAATATATAAAATATATGAAAATTTCAATCTCTCTCTCGCTTTATTCGTCTCTTATATTTTCTAATTCAGAAGAATTAAAGTATCACAAATACGTTTACATAATCGACGTACGTTTTATGAAACGCAAATCATTGCGTTTAGCAAATTTAATAAAATTCAATAAAAATATATTGAAAGTGACAAAAATTTAATTTCCTTCTCCTCTTCCTACTCCCAAATCTTTTCCATCATTGATCCTGATGAAGACTCCTGAAGATTATGGAGCGAACTAGAACGCTGAATTGTTCTGATACAGTGCTTTATGGGACATCGAAACCGGCCAGCAGTGCACCTCGTTTATCGGGCACACTGGCGATGTGATGTCTCTGTCGTTGGCACACGATACACGCACCTTCGTGTCTGGTGCGTGCGACGCCAGCGCGAAGTTGTGGGACATTCGTGAAGGCTCTTGTAAGCAGACCTTCCCGGGTCACGAGAGTGACATAAACGCCGTCACGGTGAGACGTTAAGATATTACGTTAAAAAACTAGAAGAACTACCGTTTCGTAACGGTAGTATCAGTGCATTTTCGAGAAAAGTTTAGTTAAAACTTATTAATTTGGACATATTATTCACAGTTCTTCCCGAATGGATACGCTTTCGCGACGGGATCGGACGACGCGACCTGCAGACTTTTCGACATTAGGGCGGACCAGGAACTCGCGATGTACAGTCACGACAATATCATTTGCGGTATCACCAGTGTAGCTTTCAGCAAGAGCGGTAGATTATTGCTGGCGGGCTACGACGATTTTAACTGTAACGTTTGGGATTCTATGAAGACGGAGCGAGCTGGTAGGTTGATGGTATTTCACGAGTCTCCTCAAGAGAGAAGAGAAATTTTATTCGAGGCCCTTCTCTCAATAATTATTTTCATGTTTGCTCTTTCTAACGATTTTGACCGTTGGAATAAAAGATAATGTTGTTTTTACTATTTTTAAAAAATATTCGCCATGATTGTTTTCTAGGAATTCTTGCTGGGCATGACAATCGCGTGTCTTGTCTTGGCGTTACGGAAGACGGCATGGCGGTAGCGACAGGCTCCTGGGATTCGTTCCTACGCATTTGGAACTAACTTGGGGCTCTCCCCAGGACGTTCCTTCAAAGAACCAACAGTCAACCAATTTACAGCATAAGAATCAAGTACCACCATCTGACTACCGAGCAAGTCGACGTGCCAGCGGCCACGACGCTGGCAAAAAATCCGCCAGGTTCACCAGAGTTGACGCTGATCAGAAACTTTGGATGCCGGATTAGCAGCAGCAATGGCAGCAGTAGCAGCAACAATAACAATTACGATCGTATCAAAACCCATGATAGCAGCGACAACAGCAACGGCGTCGATTTCAAGAACGTTTTGGATTGTGGTGGTAAAAAAGATTCCCGCGGCAAGCGCATCGTAGTTGACTTGACTTGGCGACGTGGTAAAGTCGGCGATAAGGACCACGAATATCAACGCTTCTAGGAAGAATTGGCTCGAGTTGGGTCGAATGCGAAGACACATTGCGGCAAAAGATCGCGCAGCGAAGGACGAGATGTAAGAATGGAGAATGAGCGCCGACAACAAGGCCGACAGTTAAGAACTCTGCGGTATTGGGCGCGCACTTTCTTTTTATCCTCCCCTTTCTCAAGGACTTTCTTCGCGAACCTTCGAGAGGCACGTGCTGTTTCACTTGATAGTTCTTTTCCCACGGGGGTACTCCCAGTCGAGGATTTCGAAGTTCGAAGGACGACAATCGCGCCGACGATCGTCGAGAGATTTCCATCTCGAACCAAGGTTCAAGCGTTCACTGCCGAAGAAACGCTGTCAACGGTTGCTCCGGCGGTTAGCTACAGATTATTTCTCCCATACGCGAAACGAGATTTTATCGAGCATTATACGATACGTAATCGTAATATTGCGTCGCGACTCAAAGATGAGAGAGACGAGCACAGCCAAGCTCACAATAGTCCCGTAATGATGCGTTGGAGTTTATATGGCGCACATTGAACGCACATGTGTATCGATGGAGATTCACGACGCGAATTGCATACACCTGCACGCGAAAATGGAGGAACGGCGCGGATCGTTCAGCAGCCTCGAGATACATTTAATTCGCATATACTCGTCACGCGAGCTTTGCCCTCGTGCACGAGCACCGAGTGATCGAGCAGAAAAGAGCGCTATATATACATATATATATATATAAAATGAGATGAGATGATCACTTTTCTTACCATAAAATACGCCGACTTCGCACCACTTACTATTATTACTATTACTAGCACCACAACCCTCTCGATTGATTTCGTAGATATATCGTTATTTATTTTGTATAGACCTCTGCCATAGGCCGCTCCGCGTCAACGTTTTTTGCGAGTGTAAGAGCGACTGAGCATGTTGTAAAAGAGATCGAACGAGAGAGTTGTGAGAACGTGAAAGTGAGAACGATAGACGCGCGGCCAATTGTCAATCAAAAAAAGAAAACAAGACACGAAATGCGTGGATAAATGAAACAAATTCTGAATATAGAACATAGTTGCTCCTTCGAGAAATAATTCGATTTATCGGGACGTTGACGTCCACGAGAGAAGTACGAGAATTCGAGGAGCGATATATTAGAGTTCGGGAGAAAACAATAGTTTCGTCTGCTTTTGCAGCGCGAACGCGTTAAAATCGTATGAAATGACTGGCCAGCGTAAAGTGTCGAGTACGTTTAATGTAATGTGTAATCGTTTAGTTCATAGCGTCTATACCTGAACCTTCTCTCCCCGTCCTCTATCCAATTATCTCTGATTATGGCGAGAAGGTGAAGAAGAATTGATCCCCGGCTGTCGTCTCGGCGATATCTCTTCCCCACTGTCGATTGAACGCCAATCAATCCTCGTGCACGAGGCGGGCACGTGCTCTCGATCGAAAGAGTCGTGCTAAAAGTACCTTTGAAATAGGACCCAAAGAATCCCAGGCTAATAAAAAGGACCGCGAGACTAAGCTTTCTCTCCTCCCCTTGTCATTATTATCTTTTTTGATACTTTTTGTTTATCGCATTTTGTTTGTCACGGTCTTTTTCATAAACATGTAAGTACGTATTTTTTTCGATAGCTTTTTTTTATAACTTTCACCTATATCCCTCTTTTCCGCGCTGTCACTACTTATCTTCCCTTCCTTTCATCTCCTACCTGTTCTGTCCTTTTTTTGTCAGAAATAAATGTTGAAACTGTGTATGCATTTAAAATAATATTAATGATAATAATTATAATATTAATATTAACGATGATCGTAATTTATAATTATTAATATTTAATATATAAGTACATAAGATCGATGGTTTTTCTTAATATTGCAGGATTATATGGTCCAATCGCCTTCCGGCAACCACGTTCCAACAGTGTTTTTTTTTAAATTTCTTTTTTTAAGAATTTTGTACATTCACCACACACACATACACAAATATATGTAGTTAATTGCGTGATGCGCTTTTTATTTGTGGTAAACGAATACCTTAATTCGATAGGAGTTCCATGAATCTTTGTTTTAATTATGAATAAAATATATAATTTGTATATACGAAAAGTTGTTGTGTATCACGATAAAAATTTATGGGATGCGTCGGTTGCTAAAATCGGGAAAATTGAGAGAAAAAGACGTGGATTCCGGAAAGCGACTATCGAAAAATTTCTTTCCCAGTGAAAAAAAAATGTAATCTGGCTATGGAGCAAGCGAGCATTAATCTCCGACGATTTTCGAGAGATGTTGCAAACTTCGAACATTCGAATTTCGTAAAATCGGTTTTTTTTTAGACGTATGTATAAAAACTAATCTCGCTTACGTGCTTTATACTTGTTAGATATCAAACGGGCAAAAGATCTTTCTCCGTCTCGAAAGAGAAGATCCTTGTTCCTTCGATTCTTTGTATTATTATAAGAATTCTTCCCAAGTTCGATGCGAGATCGGGCGCTACGTTAAAAATGCGAGATAGAAACGCGAGTAAAGCGCCCGCTTTTCGATACTTTCAATATAACTTTGAAACGAAAGAAGGAATAATCTTAGAGCAGAGAATTACGAAGGAATAGGAAACTTTAGTGAGCAGACTAATGGAAACAGATCTGTGCTTTTTGCATTTCACGATTCCGTGGCTTCCCCAAGGGGGCTCTTTCTCCTTTTTGTACCTTGAAGCCTGAAACGATATGGTTTCTTATTTTTGGTACAAATATGAAAAAAGTCTTATTATCTGGCGAGTAACGTAAAATTGACAAATTATCAAGCCTCTAGTCATATTAATGGTATGCGCGTAAAAAATGAAAGAAGACCAGCAGGTAAAACTGTAAGCAGAAATAATTTTTTTAAACGTATCCTTGTTCGCGCAAATAAGCTTGCGTATGTTGACTTTAACTATTTAATTTATTTTTCTTTTTCGAAAATATGGCACACATGGTAGATAAATTGCGACGCAGGAGGAAAAATCACGGCATAAAAACAGCTCTGATGAAATCAGCCTTTTCTTTTCCTCTCTTTTTCGAGCTTTTAAGAATATAAAGAAAATAAAAATATTTGGAAAGAATTAAACGTGGCGTTATTTTTCCGTTATTTTTTTTTTTACCGCTTCTTCCCCCGCTTTCTGTTTCCTCCCTTCGTAAGTGACGCATTCGCGTGTCTTATGATTTCGTTATCCTGACATTTTTTTGCGTTTTGGTCTTGAACACGAGGAACCTTCTTTTCTTTCGCTACGTATTCGTTAATATCATAAAACAGTGCCCTGCTAAGACGAGGTCCTACAAGATTATGGCGTCCGATATTGGGTCCTATTTCAATTATAGAATAACCACGTCACTAGTGTATACGCGTACATGTAGTTAAAAAAAGGGGGAAAGGAGGAAAGAAAGGGAAGAAACGTGAAGAATGTGCCGACGACACTTTCGTGACTTGTTTTACGATGGACGACGAGAAGCCGTCGGGAATACTGCCTCTTTCAAGTTATTGCACAAAAAAAAGAATACATTACGATATATAATCCGTGTACTATACATGAAACACACATTAAATAACGTGCAAGCCAATGTTAAAGTTTAAAAAAAGAAATACGCAAGAGGACGTGGCCGTGCGAAACAACTAATTGTAAGACGTGGAGTGAAAAGTGTATCGATGAAGATCGAGTGAAGATTATATTGGTGAACATTATTCGATAGGAATGTACATTCACTCAACAACTGAATATTGAGAGCGAGACACGTCTTTACTGTTAAATGGTAGATAGTTACAAATATTTCATCACTTTTTTATATATAAAAAATATATATACGTATATAAATAATGATAATTAATCACTATTGACGGTTAGCCTAGGTCATTCGCCTATAGTCACTTTGCCACAGAGGACATTACCACGAGGCACGTGAATATTCGAAGTATTGATTTTCTTCGTTGATAAATCGCTTCTTGTTTACGACATAATTACGTTATATCTCGTGGATGTCCCTGTCGCAGAACTCATCATCATTCGTATGATAGGAAGAATTGTTTCGGAAGAGATCTGTTGAGGAAAGACGAATTTCGTCGAGTTATAGCGATGGATAATCATTATATTTGAGAATCAGGGATAAATTTCAAAATTTTTCTTTACCCTATTATCAAATCATTCCATTCCATCTAAATGTTTTAAATATGAAGAGAGGTGTCTGTACACATACAAGCAATTACATTTATTTCTGTTGTAATGAATAATTATGTTGTCTTTCAATATTACATCTTTATTTGAACTTTCATCGTAACGTATTGTCCAATAATACTCTGCAGTAGAAAAGCTTGCGCGAAAATTAATCCAGAACTAATTATTTCGAGCACAAAAGTTATCTGTCCGCTTGATTGGCCATTGGATAGATCGTTCAGATAGAAAAATAAAATAAAGGTATCTTTTTACACATATATATATACACACACATACACATAATTACATTTTTATGCTGTAACAAGCTACGTTGGCTTTCAATATCGCATCTATTTACTTAAACTTTCGCCGGAAAATTTACCACAGTAATATGACATCCAAGATAACATTCCGCAATAGTGAAACAATCTCACGCGAGGAACAACCTATAGAGATGATTTTTTCGAGCATATAGAAGTCATCTACTCACGTTCATTGATCATCAAATAGATCAGACGTAGAAAATGGAGCGATGTAACCCGTTTATTATTGAATATGATTGAAAGGATGCAGTTTTGCGTACAATTAGGAATCATTAGAAGTTACCTCAGAATGTGATTGTATCTATTTCTCCTGTCTTGCGGCTTCTAAAGTGACATGAAATGAAAATCGCGCCGGACGAATAGGGGCGTTTGATTAATTATTTTATTTCGAAAAATTGCGTAATTTGTATATACATGAACGAGTACGTGAAAATCGCTTGGCCCTCTCTCTTGTGCGTTTTTCTCTGTGCAATTTAATAAAAGGAAACCGCGATAAAAATTGTTTTCACGAGAATATCGTTGCAAGTAAATAAATGTTTTAAAGATTTATTTGTTATTTGCGTTTTGTTGTAAAGAATTTATTACATTCGAGCGTTCGATTGATATGCTCAGAGAAACATCATCGCAAACCCGTGTCAAGAAGACGACGAGTATAACGAGGGCCACGTTTGCATAGTGTTCGATAATATATTTCAATTTTAATGTCCTAAGTCGTTATAGTTATCGGCGAGTTTTTTTAAACGCAGATACGTAAATATATCTAAGAGGATGTGCAAACGCCAATTCTTCTAAGCGAATTTGAGAACATGAGCTTTTGTTACTTCATATATTAATAGCGTGAACTCGATTCCCCTTCACAGCGTTTCTCATTAACATATTCGCGTGATTCGAAATTCTAATGAGAGAATGAAATTTTTATGAGCTTCATCACTGAGACGTTATGGTTTTGTAAAGTTTCCTTTAGACACGCCTTAAATCGTCTAACGATTTTTACGTGATTTTATTGTAAATCTAGTGTTATATGAAAGTCTGGTGCATTCGATCTGCAATCATGAAGGAGAAAAGCGAGGAATTGGTGAACTTGCTGTATTTTTGTGCACTTTAATTTTTTCACGCTTCTTAACGTAATTAAATATTGACGAGATGGTATATAATCCTATTGAAAATAAAAAAGATATATTTTAACAAGATAGTTAATGTCATTCATCAACGATATTCGGAACATATCTTTGAACTAAAAATATTGTTTCTGCATTTTTTTCTTCATATAAAATTAATGGAGATAAACAGTACAGTTGTTGGCTACTCTACTGAATGATTGGCTACATTTAAAAAAATTAAAGATTATAAAGAAATACAATTATAAAATGTTTTTAATTATAAATACAAAAATATTTAATACTCTTCTTTAAATATTTTTGTATTTATAATTAAAAACATTTTAAAATTGTATTTTTTTATAATCTTTAATTTTTTAAAATGTAGCCAATTATTCAGTAGAGTGGCCAACAACTGTACTGTTTATCCCTATTGCTTTATTTACCTTTTTTCCATCTCCAGTTTTTCGCGATGTTACAATCACAATCTTACTTATAAAACAATTATAAATCAAAGTACAAAGTTTGCCAGAATTTATCCGCGAAAACTTATAAATCGCGCTCTTTTATGAAATAAAAATGCATCGCTTTTAATTATTAAGTTACGACGAAGCTTCGTCCGAACCGGGAACAAGTATGAAAAAAGTATGAAGGAAGAAAGGAGAGCGAGGGAGGATTTATTTTTATTGCATCAGAGCAAAAGACTGACGCGTTTTTCAGTGTCAAAGTAATAAACAATCTCTTGTAATAAAAATCAAATTGCAAAATAAAAAAAATGGAAATGCGACAGGTGTGACAAAGTTTTGTTGCTTTTACTTCGTGATTGCAAATTAGGGTAACCGACATTAAGTCTGGTACTGCATCGAGGACAATTGCTTCTTTTATATTCTCGTTTGAGAAACAAAGCGGGTAATAAGAAGCATGTTTTCCCATAAAGGCGCCGTTCGATTTTGATATCGACGAAACTGTACGTATTCGACGATGAAGTTGACGACGACCCTACAATAAGGGACAAAAGAAAGAATAAAATCGGTAAAAACTTTCCAATTTTTGGAAAGAGAAACTTAGTACGTAAGATACTCTCTGTAACAAGCTCTGTAATGTAAACCATAAGTCGTAAGGTGTAAGGACTGTAACGCATTAAATAATCATTAACCACGACGGTTAACAACCATAAATATGATCGCGATAACGATACGATAGTACGAGGAGATAAACCCAAAGAGGCGTGCAAGTGTCGATAAAGAGCCGATCGATGAATGACGACAAGAGTCACATATTCGCACAAACAGAAACCTAATCCTTGAATCGTCGCGCGATTCTCTTATTCTCGATCATTGATCCGCTCTTGGTTGACACTTTATACGTTCCGAAGAATAATTTACAATTATAGGGAGCAAACGAGAGTGCGAGCGAGAGAGAAGAAGCGCACGAGAACTCATAATACTACATAAGGGTGGTGAGTGTGAGGAGAAGAAAACAAAGATACAAAAAAAGAAGAAAAAAACAAACAAGATACCAAATTTGATTTTTGCGTGCCTGTGCGAAGGAGCGAGGTGATATATACGTGCATATTTATAAATCTATTACTATAAACGATCCTAGCGGAAATGTAATCCTTACGTTTGTTTGGGACGAAGAAGGGGTATACTATACATTCGTATATATCCCCTGCATAAACAAAAAACGAAATGGAGTACGGGAAGTGATAAAGACGAAAGAAGTTTGACGACGAAGGGAGAACAGTTTCGTTACACGCGGTATCATTCTATATGAATATATTATAATATCAAGAGCTTCTTGCCAAGTGACAAGGTGATAGCTTCTGCAGGAATAAGCGATCCGAGATCCATCTGGGATCTGTTTGGAAGCCATAGGCTGACAAGAGAGAGAGAGAGAGAGAGAGAGGCGGCGACGGTAAAGATATAATATATTTAATAACGTGACAGAGATTACCATTTCTTTCGCGTGCGACCGGTTATCATTGCACATAATTACGGATTAATTATTATTACTATTATTAATTATGGTTCATCGACATCACCGCCATCGTCATTATTATGATTATTATTATTATATAATTGATGTGAGTGTGGACACAAAAATAAAGTGTACGTAGTAGAAGGTCGACCCATTCCACAACCTGCCGTTTCTTTCGAACAAGTTTCAAAGTTCCCGCATTTAAAATGAGTCTTGAAGGTAACACATTTATTTCAAATAGAAAAGCAAGAAAAATATTGAACATTCTATGAACTTAAACTAACGAACGTTATATGTCATCTATAACAAATTCTCCGATCACGCGAAAACCTATTCCCTCAAAAGTCAAATTCATTCTTAGTTTTACAATTTGCCTTCGATCAAGTACATTAACGTGCATTAAGTAACTGCGATTGTTTATTTAAGAATAATATAGTAAAACTTTGATTCCTTCTAATTCTCCTGTGCAACTTGCATTTCTATACTCTTTTTTATATTTGTCGTGACGATTTTGCGTTCCTCGTTTGGCAATACACATTTTTCCTTGCATTCTGCGTTTTCTACTGTACATGATGTTGAAAATGTTTCAACTTTTATTTCTTCTTTCAAGTTATCTGCGCTTTCTCGCTTAATGTGGTTTTGAAAATCATCAGGAATCTCAACTGTTTCTTCGGACATTCTGAAGGCAACCTAAAGGTAATGTACAAATTAATATTACATTTAGTTAATTATAATAAAAAATTTTTATAAACTAAATGCAAAAATAGCTTTATGTATTAAATAATTTTTGTAGATATATAAACACACTAGTTTTTAATATATATTATACTAACATCTATTTGTTGACAATGGGAAATAGTTTGTGATTGTTGTTTAATTTCTTTTTGCTCGAAAGTTTGTTCTTTAGACGTTGTAGGACATTTAGAAATCTCTTCGATCAGCGGTTTAACTGATTTCTTTATCAAACATTCTGTTTTCTGTAATTTATTATCCGATAATATTTCTTTTGATTCTTGATTGTCCATTGTAAAATCTGGCTTAATCAACAATTTCTTTCTGCTTTCTAATTCATGCAGATGATCGCAAAATTCTTTGTAAAATGATGCATTTATCGCGAGAGACTCTGACTTATAGTTTTTGGATTGTTGTAAAAGATTGGCAAGCGATTGAATATCTAAAACAGATAAATATAGTTGTTAATAATTTTTAATTTTGAAGCATTTATATTTATGTACTGATCTTACCAGAATGATTAGCTGACGCGCCGGATTGCGAATTGATCGTTTGTTCCGTCATCAATTCTTGTTTTTCAGAATATGTATTTGTTACATCGTTAGACTTATCGCGACAATTGTTTCGTTCTCCAAAATCGCCTGCGGGCTTATTAAGATCCATTTTCGAGATGCAACCAGATGACAGATATTCTCCGAGACTTCGATTAGATTTATGACATTGCGATTTTTCGTCTGTACCTTCCGTTTCTTTTATCAGATTTGTTATGCATTTGTCGATCAACGGTGATACTTTTCTCGCGAATTTCTTCGTTTCTTGTATCAGATGCTGTCTGCATCTCTCAGAAATTTGGCTACGAGACTTGCGTTCCTCCGGTTTTCTTCCGGGTTTTATTTCCTCGATAAGGAAAGATTTCTTGTTGCTGACCTCGATATCTTCCGCTTCGCGAATTCTTTTACCCGTTAGTTTTGAAGAGCGACTCGGTCTTTCTAGGGATAAACGATTTATCGTTCGAACGAGCGATTCCCTTTGAGAATTAGATTTTTCAATTTCCGTTGAAAATTCTCGCTCTGTTTTTGATATCTCGATTTTATCAGATTTTTCTGATTCATCATTGATTTTCTTATTTTCACAAATCGCGTCGTTATGTTCTTTATTTAAAATTATTTCCTTCCAATGATTATCTACCAACTGATTAATATTTTTACTTTTAATTGAATCGGTAATTTTGTCAAAATTATTTTCCGTATTAGTCAATCTTAAAACTTCCGATGATTCATAATTGCTTCCCGAAATTTGAGAGTCTTCTTGAACGGATGTTGCTGTCTTAAAGGAATCGTCATCGGATTCATCGATGTTTTTCTTTCCTTCCGAAGATTCAAGTGAAAGATCGTTAACTTTGTCTTCCAAAATTTCGATTTTTACAGAATTATCCTCTACAATATTTTCGCACTTTTCATTGTAATCAACAAGATCTTTCTTCATATTAGTGGCTGTTTCACAATCCAATCTTTCCTCTAGAACCATTAATTCAGTTGAAACTTCCGGTTCGTGTATTTTTTGTACGCAATCCCGATTTCTCAATTCAGCAAAGAGGCTGCTGAACACCCCGCGCGATTCTTCTTGCTGTATCTTTACAGATTGCTCGCAGTCATAATTTTCCTCGTTTTTTATGGAATATGTTTCCGTCGAATCCGGGAGGGCACTTGACGGGCAAGTTTTCAGTGTCATCAAGTCGTAGATATCCTGAAAATTATTTGTAATATCAGTCTGCTGGTTTTTATCCTCCGACGAACAGCTATCGAATTTTTCATTTATTTCGGCATCTTCTGCCTCCACTTTGTTTCTCTTTGCTTCGTCCTCTCGTTTCTTTAGGATCTCCTTGACCTTCAGTTTTCTTTCCTTGGTACTCCACCATTGCAGTTTATCTTCCTCGCTCGCGGAAACCTTGGTCCCGGTTTCTTGGATCTTGCTATCATCAACAAAATCAGTTTGCAAATTCTCGTCCACCATCTTTCTCTCGCCCCAGAATCCTTCCACCTTACCGTTCTTGAACACTATCTTGTTTTCGTCAACAAACCTATCCATACTGTCGCAGAATTCTCTTATCTCTTCTCGGATACTGCTAAGTTTAGAACCGAACGGATATTCTTTGCTTTTTCTTTGATAGCTCTTGTTATTTTTACTCGATGGATCATCTTTCATGTTAGTGACTGTATTTGCATCTTCTTCTAATATCTGCTTTAAATCCGATGTGTCACACGATACTGAACAGGTAGATGCTGTCTCGTTTTTACGACCTGCAAAAAATTTCAATTGCCAAGTTTAATTAAGATCAGAATAATTATAGATAATGTAGAAATGTTTTTATGATGGCATGTGACGAGTGCATAATTTCTTGTTGATAAAATTATCTGTTTAAAGGTGTCGCCAAAAAATTAATTCTTTAGTACATAATCCGCTCACCATTTGCTTCATTATTGTCATCGATCGATTTTTGCAGATCTGCTGTCTGTTCTTTTTCTATATGCGACTCCAATACTACTTTCCTATAAGTAGCAGTTTCCGTATCGATGATACGATCACCGAGTGGATCATGTATACTTTTATAATTATCCAAAATTTGTGTCTCGTGCGATTTCCTTTCTGCGTCATCAGCAATATATTGTTGATTATTGGATTCCGATATTTCTTCAATCAGTGTTGGCGGCTGAATTTCATCTTGAACCTAGCAACGAGGAATAGGTGAACAACTTTTTATCTCTCCTTAAATTCTCATTCGTTATAAAAAGATAAGGATCGCATACCTCGACTTTCCAAGGCAGCAGAAGTTCCCCGTTGTTTCCATCGGAAACTTTTCTCTCTTGCTCCGCCATTGGCCTCCTTCCGTCACTTTCCTCGCCTCCTTTTTGCCGCCTGCGTTCGTTTTCTTCGTCGCTTGCGAGCTGTTCGTCTTCCGACGATGACGACGACGACGACGACGATGGAGAGTTGTAGGAACCGAGGAAGGATCGGTCTTCGGATTTTTTCTTCCTTTCCAAATCGAGCTTTAGCGTGTTCATCGTAGCCGGTATCATGGGTGCAGAAGATCGGGAGGTGCGTGCGGGTTTTACGTCGTGAATGATCAAATAGCCGACGGGACCGATGATGGTGATATTATTCAAAGCACGAATTCTGTACCAGACCTTGACGAAACTAGTTCTTACCAGTCCGCTGCTCCTCGTTGTGGCGCGCACGTTTGATTTCGTGGCGACTTCTTCGTTCTCCTCCTCCTCCTCCTCCTTCTCTTTCTTCTTCTTATCCATCGCCTCCTTTTCGGACGCCCCGACCGGTTTGCACAGCTTCCTTTTGTTTATCAGGGCTTTCGAGGGCGGACGCGATGTTCGACAGATAAACAAAGACCGACATCCGAGAAACAGAACAGGTGAAAGGAGTCAAAAGGAATAAGGGTGGCCATTTCGAGCCCGCTTTAAGTAACGAATCTTTTAACTTACCCATGACACTGTCGTTAATTTTCTTCTGCTCCGCCTGGATCCATCGATTCCTCTCGGCCACCTCCTCGTCGACGCCGCCGCGCATCCTGCGATTTAAAGATATTTTAAGAATAACGAGCAATTTTTCTTTCTTTTTACAGGTCGTTCTTAAATTTACCAGGCCTCGGCGCAGGCACGATCGCGTGGGAATACTGGTCGATCGTCTAGATACTGAAGATTCTTGCATTTAAGAATCATTGTCTTGCGATACATCTTTATCTGCTTGAGCACTGGATTGCCGGTCAACGTTAAAACACGCAGCGACTTCATATCTCCCAGAATCTAAACAATTCAACTCTTGCAAGCGGTTTCAGCAAATGAGACATTTCGAAGGTAGAAACTATTAAGCTTTTATTTATAATGCAATTAATGATTATTACTAAAAAATTTTTTAAGTAAGTAGTGAAGATAATGTTGATTTGCAATCAAGTATTATTTGATATTCGTTTAATCACGTTTTTGCCGCAACAATACCTGTCATTTCGGAAATATAGTCCGGTTGTGCGTAATTACTGACTTACGTCAACGACGTCGCAGGTGTCGATCTTGTTGTGAGAGATATCCAAGATTGAGAGCGCGTGCAGTAGACGGAGATGCTCGATGTCAGCGGTTTCTCGTAGATAGTTGTGCGACAGGTTCAGGTTGTTCAGGAACTTGAGGCTGTCTGAAAAGCAGAAGCACGTCAAGGTCAAGGTCATCTGGGATAATACCCGCTTCGCGACTCCGAGTTACCGAGATTCTCGATCCTCTGTATCGTGTTGTGCGAGAGGTTCAGGGTGTCGAGCTTCGTTAGGCAATCGAGATTCTCGATCTTACTGATAAGGTTGTGGTGCAGATACAGGCATTTGAGTTCGCTCTGATTTTCCAAATTAGCAATCTCGCGTATACCGTTACTTTCTAGCCACAAACATTTCAGACCTGTGTATTTTTCGAGATTCTCGATGAAGGAAAATCCTAAAAAGTGTAAATTCTTCGTTGATACATCATTACATCAATATAATTGGTACAATCGAACATTGTACATGCCTTTATAGTGCAAATACAAAACGTCGTTCAAATACGGAGTCTCATAGAGTTTGTGTTCCTTGCAGTGCTTCCTGATTAGTTCCTCTGTCATTCTGAAATTATTATCCGTTTTTAATCGGTGTTAATAATCAGTACGTTAAATAATTATTTCGAGAACTCACCTAACACCGTGCTTTTTCTCGTCAAAATCATAAATCTTTCCTTTGATGTACGTCTTTTCTGGTTCTTTAAACTCTTCCATGAAAGAATCGTCGGATTCTGAATCGATTTTAATCGCCGTTGTATCATTCATTATTTCAGACGTTTCATTTGAAAATTCCTCATTCATTTTTTCGTCATCTTTAGATTTATTTTTGGCTTCTTCATCAATATTTACGTCATTACAAACCTGTATCGATCCTGACTCCAAAGTCAACTGAATTTTCTCTAAATCCGTAGTAATAATTTTCTGATATTCATCCATAAGTTTCTTGTGCTCTTCCATTTCATCCGCGAGTTCTTTTTCCAACTCTTCGATTTTCAAATTCTCAGTTATTTCGGATTTTGTTAGAGGAACTTCGAAATTCTCCGGATCAATCCGAACCTGAAATTCATCGAGACTGTCAGACTCGACGGCGACATCGTCTGGAGTTTTGAGCTCACAAGAATCAGATACATAAAAAGGATAATTGTGATCGGCAACGAGCTTATCGATTTCTTTGAATTTCTTAGATAATTTCTCTAGCGATTTTTTCTTCCGATCTTCTATTTTCCTCTTTTCTTCAGCTATCTTTTCCAAAGTTTCCCGAATCTCGATACGCGATCTGGGACGATCAGGACATGTAATTTCAGCTAATTTTTGCAAATTGCTTTCAACAATGTCAGACTCCGGGATTGCCATCTCTTCAATCACCGTATTTGCTGAATTTATTTTAGTATCATCATTCTTAACGAAATCAATTTTTATTTGATTTACTGTTTCATTTGCATTCTCATGCTCTTTATCACCTTTTATCTTTTCCATAGATTTCTCCGACGAATTGTCTTTGCGATAATTCTCTGTTGTCTGATTAGCATTTGTTTCCAACGTGTCCCAACACGGACCGTCAGTTAGTATTTTCTCCGCTTCCTCGATAGTTCTTAATATATCTTCTTTAGCTATGGCAGTCTCGGAAACGACGCGACGACGCGGAAAAAATTCATCTCCTCGAAACTTCTTAATTACACATTCGCTCCTCGATCGTATGAGATCTGTACTCGGGATTTCGCGGATCGGTGAATGTTGCTGAAAATCTGCGTCGGAAGAAACGTCGGAGCAACTTTCGATAATTTTCCTCATCACGTCATCGTAATCATTCTCCATTTTCGCGGATAAGCCTTCTATCATTCGTTCTTCCGCCGAATCGTGATGTTCATCGTCACTGATGCAGAGATTCTTGATTATCTTATCCATTTTTTGTATTTCGGTAATCGTATTTTCGATACTGTCTTCTTCGGTGCTTAACATATGCTTCGCGTTCTCTTCCATATGTCTCGGTAAATTCAGGTCGGCTTTAAAATAACTCTCATTATTACTTATAAAACAATCACTAGATTCTATCGTTGAAACTGATGTGTTTTTTATATCTAGTTTTTCTTGAAGAGAATCTTCGATATTTATATATGTAACATTTTGTGCAAGCTCCATCTTTTTATTTTTTATGTCTTCTTCAACAATTTTACAAGCGACGATATCGCTTTTTTCAGAAGTATTATGTGAATCATAATTATCACAATTATCAATAGCTTGTTGAAAAATTTTGCTATCATTTTCTATGTTTAATCCACTAGTCAAGGAAATTCCTGAATCGACAAATTTTTCTTCACTATATCTTTGATATATTTTTTCATACTCCGAATCAATGCTAACCAAACTTTCTCGCAATTCTGTTAAACTGTTAAAAAAATTCACGCATTGATCATTCGTCAGAAATTCATCTTGAATCGTTTTATCACTATCTTTGGAATCTTCATCCTGGATTGTTTTGTCGTAATCGAAATTATCGTATATAGAAACATCACAATCGCCGTGCGTAGAAACATCACAATCGCTTATATTAGAATTAAAGTAAGATGGATTTTCTTGATTTAAAACGAATATTTTATCGTAATTTAAGGAAACTGGCGGAGCATCGTATTCATCGACGTCGTTTGTTGTTTCTATTTCCTCACTTCCGCATAAATTTTCACATTTTTCCACCTCGGATTGGGCCTTCACGGTACTGTTTAGAACCCCATGCTCTGCTGGACTATCTTCGACAACCTTTTTGCAAATACGAATTGAACAATTTATTTCGTTTACAAACACAATTTCGTGAAATGAAACGAGGCAAGAGGCATAGAAACGTAATCAGCGTTACAAATATCGTGCAAAACATGAGGAAAAGTATGGAGTATTACATTGAAGCGTTATGTAATAAGATAAAAAGAATGTCTTTGCAGTTGAATTTACCTTGTGATCGGATACAGAAGATATAGTCATATGAGTAACAGATGATATAGAACTTTGACTGCTATCCTCTGCTAGGGAACTGAACGAGAGATCGCGTGGGTCGTTCAGCGTTTTATTATCGTCGAGTTTAAACGCGCTCATGATTAAGAGCGCTTTTGTAATTGAATCTTTCTTAGAATCTATGAAAACGCGGATCGTGAACTCTAGATAGAACTGACGTGACCGATCATTGAAAACAAGAGCACGGCGCCATGGTCACCGTCAATTCTAAAGTTGTTTAGTCGATAGGGTCGGCCATCCCTGCGCTCTTCAAGGCATATACGTCGCATCATCGTGAAGCGTGAATACATATTATTTTTCAATTTGTCAGACATTCTTTAATCGATTTAGATTTTACGTTTAGTTCGCTTTGTCTACGGCGAATGGGATTCTCAAAGACTGAACGCGGAATCTTCGAACTTTTCGATCCGATCTGCGTCCGCAATTCGCGCGTGCAATCTACCATCAGACCGGTCATCGCGCTTTTCTCGCGCTTTTCTCGCGGTGGAAACTGCATCGCATCTTAAATGCAGTTCTCTTCGAGAAAACACGGAGCAGATTGGCATAGATGATCGATCGCACGCGGCGGTACGCAAGCGGTATGCACAACGTTAACGGTTACGGGGTTGTCTCGTCCACGATATCTATTCGTCAGCGATCTCCTCTCGCTTTGTTTTCTTCGTTGTGTCTGGATGCGCAACACATATGAGTGCCGCTTGTTTTTCCTCTCGATTTCAGATTCCGCGCTCGCCCCTCGACGACTCTCTGTCGTCCGTTGCCGTTGCCTTCGTCGTCGTCGTCGTCGTCGACGACTCTACGTCGCGCGGTCGACGATGATGTTCGCGAATGATGCTATCAACATAATCCAGCGGAAAAGACGCGCGGTGGCGATTCGCAAATGCCGTGCGCTCTCATGGTATCTGAATTAGATCATGATAGCGGGAAATCGCGACGCACCACATATATGGTGCAAGTCCTTCTTCGTCGTGCATAGATCCTCCTTTTTTTATTTTCTCCTTCTCGAGGCACGACGCACTGTCGTCTACTTTGCCAGACGCGTCTTTCTACGCAGTAACTGCGACTCCATGCGTTCCCACTGTCGTAATAACAGAAAATTTGGTTCGCACAGCATTCGGATATTTCCCCTGATCTCTATGAATTTCTATAATCTTAATGGTATCTAAACGGTACAATCACAAAGAGTGCAATTCCAATATATAAGAAAGGAAAAAGAAAGCATGAGAATGTAATCGACTTCGTAGTTAGTCAATACTAACCGGGCAGCCGATGTTGATGCAACCGGTTCGATTGCATCGATATCCGCGATTAATTAATTCTTTTAGGACTGGATTGTAGCAATATCATACTTGATACTATTAATCATTTTTAGATTATAATCTTATTTATAGCGTGTACGCAGATTTTGAAAGAATTAACAGTCTTTAAATCTGGGTCGCGCGCATAATCGTTGTCACTGCTTTGATCCTAGTTACGTTTTCTCGATGTTTCTTGAGCGATCACGCGATCGGTACAATAACGCGCGTCTTACGTCACGGTGGCACTTTTTCGCGGGTCGACTCGGTGCAATGGTGAACGGTCCGGTTTCACTTGCAAGGCTTTCGCACATTATTGCGTCAAGATAGACGCATATTTCAAACCGTTAGATAGTTACGATGAAAAATTCCAGTCCTTGCTCCAATTATAAAGGTTTAAGGCCATATAATAATAGTCACTCATAGAATTCCAAAGCGATATTCCTGGCGCCTGAAGAAAGCTTCGATTTTCGTAAGTTCAGTCGTTGGGTCGTTATGTGGCATCACGTAAGCAGTATAATTCTAATCGTTGATACAGAAATGCGAGAAGCTTACACGGAAGTTACACGTGTACTTGACACCGCGTAATGCGATCTCGCCGGATTGCCACACGCGAATGACGTTTGGCATACCACGATTTTCCAACGTTAATGTTATTTAATCGATTGAACGGCAAATCGCTGTAATGTGCGCAGAAAGCAATCCGGTATCTGCAATTTTAATCGCGATGCTATTTCTTTGATTATTCTTGTAATTTTACTTTTATACTATATCGATTTTTTTAAAGAATACGGTAGAACGCATTATTAATAATCGGACAATTATATATCAATAACTAACTTTTCTCATAGCGTTTAATTATTACGCCAAATCGTCCCGTTCATTTGATTCTTAAAAGCGCGATACACACCTTACCTATATACGAAATTCCGCGGCCGATCGTCGATCTGTCGACTCTACGAAGATTTACTTCTCCGACTTTTATTGTCAGCTAAAAATACACCCCGTAATGCAATCGAATCGTGACGCGATCGAAGATCGTAGGGACAGATATGAATTTTTGGCATCGAGTGAGCATTTTGCTTCTCGCGAGATGCTTCATGACCGTGACCTCGAGGATCCTTCACAGCGGCAAGCACGGTAGCGGACGTATGATTATGTACGGGGTGACTAAAACCTTTGAGCTTGCGAGAGTGAATTTCACAGATTATTGATACAAGCTATTAAATTAAATTCGATTTTGATTATGATTTTGATTATGAGAGAAGATTGAGCTTAGAGAATTTAATTTTCTTTTATTAAAAATTTTCTTATAATATACATTTTTACACATTTTATACAGTAAAAATTATTTTGCATAGTAACCTTTCTTCATGAAATTAGAAGTACACGAATATTAAAAAAAATATTAATTAAAACAAATTTTAGCCTGAAGAAATCTTCTAGAGATCATGTTTTTTTAGAGAATTTCGATTTGAAATCAAGCAGAAGTTTAATAATAAATTTTACACACATGTCCATATGACACCCCTTATATTGAGATGAGTGTGTCTCGTGATATACGCTCAGGGATCGCGATTCGAATGTATTATGTAATTGACGGTGATCCTGGGTAAGGAAGCTTCTCCCGGCTTTTTAAAAAGCAAAGTAGCCGTGGGTGGCCATCTCCTTCTTCTTACGAATGCAGGATCACACGTCAAAGGGTGGAGGAGGCGGAATCGTATTTGAATACGCTTTGAATTGATGATCGGCCGTGATTGTGTCTGGACGTCACGCAGGAAATTCGTCGATTTAAAGACCGCCGAAGCGGGAAGACTATGGTCAAAGAATTATAAAGTGTAATCGCCCACATCAGCTGATTACCGCTCAACTGTCAACGTAATCGATACTTCACATTTTAGCGAGCAATTCATAGAATATGCTTTTAATTATCGCTGATAAAAAGAATTTGTCACGCTATACTTTATACTAGAATAACATTTTTGTCACGAATTAACAATTATAACAAATATTACAAAAAGGTGAAATCGTGATTTTCTTACATATGTATTTTCTATGAAATATTTTTTTATAAGTTTTTTTAGATTCTTATATATTATATTTTTATTGATTCTCGAGTAAGCTCTTACAAATAGTTATATTTAGAAAAAGGTTTCCGCATTTTTATATTATATATTAATCAAAATACACTTAAGTGTGGTTGATTTAACGTACATATTTTTGATAATAATATAAAAAATAATTTATTAAATTTTATTTGTATATACATATAATGTATAAAAATTTTGAATTCTTCGTCTCCTTGTCGAATAATCCTTTTTTGGTCTAAAGTATATAACCTAAGACAACCTAATCCGTTACGAAATGATTTGTAAATGTGATCTCTAATTTCATGGTCTCTGAAAAATTACAGAGACGAAGTGAAGAGCATTACCAAGTACAATGGAATAGGATGGCCTAAGACAATGTGCTTGACTCGCTGAACTTCACCTACGGGCCAAGGAAATTCTTCACGAGAGATTCGTACAATACATATAGATTAAGGTATTTCATGGTATTCAGAAAACCCCTTTTAATGTAATCGAAATAAAGTTAGATAAATTTGTTCAATAAATATAACAACAATTTGTTATATAAAAAGATATAAATAAATCAAACAGTAATCTATAAAATGGAAAATAATATAATAAACATATTTAAAAGATATAAATGATCTATACAACACTGGTTGATATGAGAATATTGGAAAAATAATTAGTGTTTTCTTATTGCCACCTGAAGAATACGAATAATTAAAAGAATACATTGTATGGGCCATAAAATCAAATCAACATGATTTATTGAAACATCGTTTTAAACCATCTCGCTCGTTTTAAACGCTCCGTTCGGAGAGTTTGTAATAGGATGTAGAGTTGTGTCGACATTCCATGCGTGGCGGGAAAACGTGTCTGTACTGCAAGAAAAGCGATCCTGTAATCATGTATCGGAACAAGGGAAGCTGGTACTGACGAAAAAGAAACCGAGGCGAGGAATGATGACTAGACGGTACCCTCGAACGAGCTTTAAGCCGCATGTATAAATCGCTTCAATTTATAACGGGTAACGTAAAGTTATAAATTCCTCTAGATTATTAACAAGTGTTCAAATTATAAAAATCGACTTTTACTTGAAAATTTGCATAATAGAATAGGTGATTAAAACGGATAAAAATTTTAATTTTCTTTTTACCATATTTTTTTAAACTTTCTTTTCATTATTTCAATAATTTCAACGGAAGTCAAATTTTTTTTAATTCCATTTTTTTTTGCAAGAATACTCTTTCTTCGAAAGAACGCGTTTCTCATTTCTCACGCTGCTCGCCCGGGCTCGGTATAGAAGCCTTGCCGACCATCTTGTTGGCTATGCTGTTTTTATAACCGAATACCAGCGAGCCTAACGCTGCTGCAGTCGATCCGTCTTTCTAATGTTCACGTAGTGTGCACTGTGTGCAGTGTAACCATGCAGCCGCGACGACGCTCCGCGGAAAATTCATAAATAATTGATAGGCAAGACGTAGCGGCGAGAGCGCAGATATCCGTGGCTCGTCCCTGAGACGGATTCGTTTATTGTTTATATAGCGATTTTCTTCGGTTCCTCACAGCGACATAGACAACCATAATGGTTGCATCGCGCGCCGGTTTTTCTTTCCATAAATTTGAATAACATTCTCACTTCCTGCGCCGCCAACCAACGTCGCGACACACGTGCTCTAATGCGGGATGACCTCGTCCTTAGACAGAGGGATCTTGC